ATGTTAGCATCCCGTGGAAATAACCATGGCCAAACGCTGATGCCGATAGCGAGGCACACGAGGAAATACGAAGGATGACGAGGTCCTTGTTGCGGGAAAAATTACGAGGGGAATCACTAATGAATAATCCGGGTTGGCAAGGTGATGGTGTGTGAGAAAGGGCAAGAGTAAACAGTGAATAAAATTATTGTAACCCGAATAGTAATAAACGTAGAATTATTTCTTACATCAGGAGTGGCATAGTAACCTGTGTGCTTTAAAAGAAAAAGAAAATAAACCAAAACTATCAAGTATGCCAAAAACACAAAGTGGTGGTGCGATGTCGGATAGGCATTTTTCTGATAGTTCCGATGGCCAGGATAATGAATATCGTGTACGACATCAGAACCGCAAGAATCGCAATCGAAAGCATAGACATCATGGGCGTCTATCTGAAGAGCGTTCCAGATCTTCCAGGCGGCGGCATAGTACAGGAAGCCGAAGTGTTGGAAGTAAGAAAAGGAACTCACGATCGTCCAGGCGTCATTCCAAGCGACATGAATCTAAGGGTAGTTCTGTTGAATCGCGAATGGCAGGGAATCCCCGAAGCCATGAGAGAAGCGTGACAAATGACGCCGTTTCAAAACTTGGCAGTATCATCACGGAAGGTATAGATAAGCTAGTGAACAGCGTAAGTAGTGAGAAAAGTATACGACAAGTGGTAAGTAACCCTTTTACTTCTAATATTATCCAAGAATTTGATCCACGTAATCAAAATGTTACCGACTGGGTTGAAGCTGTTGACGAATACGCTTTTCTATATCATTGGGATGATAAAACAATTTGCCATTTAGCACTCAGTAGGTTAAAAGGCCCCGCAGAAACATGGTATCGTGGCTTACCAACACGAATCTTTTCTTGGAATGAATGGAAACATGTTATTGCAAAATTTTCGCGTCAAGCGTGACTTACATAAAGCTTTGCAGGAAATGATGTCATGTGCCGCAAAACCTAATCAAAGTTTATATGAGTATACTTTTAATAAGTTAGCTTTAATTCATAAATTGAAACTACCCATACGCGAAGAAGATAAGGTAAATCTCATAATGGGCGGTATTCGTAATGAAAATATAAGATTTGCCATCGAAACTGCCGACATAAAAGACGTAAATGTTTTGGCATTACATTTCAAATCACTAGACGAACGTACTTCTACCGATAAAAGTTTGAGTAAGGAAGAATCGTCAGCGTCTCATGAGTCAGGGAAAGCTAGATGTTTTAAATGTAAACAATTAGGTCACAAAAGGAAAGATTGCCCTCAATACAGTAAACAACTTGCGTTAGACTATAATGTAAATTTTATCAACCAATCTCCAAATAATAAAATTTTCCGCGACATTAAATTAAACGAAACCAAACTTCAATGTTTTGCTGATTTCGGAAGTGAGTGCTCACTTATAACACGAGAGGTAGTACAAAAATTAACCTTGAAATTACTCCCAGTAAATAACACTATTGTTTTAACTACGGTTAGCGGTAAGCTTGAACCTAAACAGTTCGTACGTTGTAAACTAACTCTCGATAAAATTGAAAGATTTATCGATCTATATGTTATTGAACAACCAATAATGAACGTCAACGTTCTGATAGGACAAAATTTTACGGAAGATAGTGAAATAAGTTACATAAAGACCGGGAATCAATTAATATTCACCGAAAACAATAATTTTGGGGTAAATAAAATCAACGTAAAGCCACAAATTAATATGAGTAAACAAGACCTAAATGCCGTTCAATCATTGATCACACTTTTACAACAATATCCGATGTGCTTTGCAAACTGCCTGCGCGAATTGGGCATTGTAAACATTATTCAAATGAGAATTGAATTAACCAATAACACACCGATAACACACAGGCCAAGGCAATTTCCTGACAATGAAAGAATTATTATTCGTGATTTGGTCACCGACTTGACGCAAAACGGGGTAGTGGAAGAATCCTCTTCCCCTTACGCTAGTAATGTATTGCTAGTACAAAAGAAGATGGTCAACCACTACTGTGCGTGGATTATAGATCATTAAACAAAATCACTATTCGAGACAAGTACCCATTACCACGGGTGGAAGATCAAATAAGGCGTCTTTCAGGGTTTAAGTACTTCACAAGTTTAGATTTATATTCGGGATACTACCAAATACCTTTGGACTCAAATTCAAAACATTATACTGCCTTTGTTACTCAAGATGGGCAATATCAGTTCACAAGGGTTCCATTTGGTCTCACCTTCCGTTTTCCAAAGAATGCTTAATACGGTTTTAGGGCAATTGCGTTTTACCAAAGTCCTAGTTTACATGGACGATATATTAATTCCGGCAAAAACTATAAATGAATCACTAGAAATATTAAAAGAAGTACTAGAAAAACTAAAAGAGAACGGGTTAACTTTGAATTTACAAAAATGTTACTTTCTTCAAACAAAAATTGAATATCTGGGTCATGTAATTAGTGAATCAGGTATTCAGCCAAGCAAACGCAAAATCGAAGCTGTTAAAAATTTCCCAAAACTGACAAACTTACATCAGGTGCGACAATACTTGGGGTTAACCGGTTATTTCCGGAAATTTGTTAAAAACTATGCTCAAATCTCCAGACCACTCAGTCTTTTGTTACAAAAGGACAACGAGTGGAAATGGGGAAAAGAACAAGAAATTGCTTACGAAAAATTAAAACAAATCCTAATTTCTGAACCAATATTGACTCTATTTGACCCAAAATTGACAACGAAATTATACACTGACGCAAGCAGATGGGGTTTGGCGGGCATTCTTGTCCAAGTACATGAACAGGGTGAAAAGGTAGTCGCTTATTTTAGCCGACAAACGACAAACGATGAACAAAAGTACCATTCGTTTGAGTTAGAGGCCCTGGCAATTGTTGCATCGGTAAAATCATAACTGACTGCTCAGCTGTTCGCAATGCATGTGCGAAAAGCGAAATCAACGCCCGTATAGGTAGGTGGGTGTTAACCCTTAATGAATACGATTATGAAATAATCCATCGAAAAGGGCAGTTAATGCAGCATGTCGATGCACTAAGCCGAAACCCTCCCTTATCAGAAAAATATGTTTGTCTGGCTACAATGACGACAGATGACTGGATGTTAGCTGCACAGCTACAAGATAACGAAATTAAAAAAATTAAAAACACACTCGAGTCCGGCGACTTAGATAACAACAGGGACATTTTTCAAAACTGCGATTTAAGGGCAGGGAAAGTCTATAAAATAACTAGTCACGGACTCAGGTGGGTTGTTCCTGAACTTGTCAAATTCCAAATCTTGCGCATGCATCACGATGATGTGGGACATTTTTCCATAGACAAAACATTTGAATTAATATCTAGCCAGTATTGGTTCAAGGGAATGCGAAGATTTATAAAAAAATACGTGGCAAACTGTTTAAACTGCCTTTATTTCAAGTCAACCACTGGTAAACCCCCTGGATTTTTGCACCCCATAAAAAAGGTTCCTAAACCATTTCATACAATACACATAAATCACCTGGGACCTTTTGTGAAAACAAAGGCAGGTAACACACAAGTCTTAGTGGTTATCGATGCGTTCACCAAATTTATATTAATCCACCCAGTAAGGAGTACAAAATCTCGAAACACAATTAAAGTATTAAAGGATGTAGTAAAAGTATTTGGAGCCCCGTCTAGAATTATATGTGATAGGGGAACATCTTTCATTAGCAAGAAATTCCAAAGGTTCTGTCAAAAACTGGGAACCAAAATTCATTTCAATGCCGTAGCCGTTTCTCGCGGTAACGGTCAAGTCGAGCGGTATAACAAAACAATTTTAGACTCGCTTGCGACAATGGGGGCCGACGTCAGCGACGATCGGTGGGACAATAATATTATTAATATACAGCTGGGTCTAAATGGCACACTAAACAAATCAATTGGGTTTACACCAAGTGAGGTTCTAATGGGATACCGTGTTATGTTACAGAATCGCCATGAAACATGTGACACAGTGGACGTTACAAAGGTACGTCAGGGAATTGAACAATTCACTGAAAAATACCAAGCGCAACAGAAACAGTATTATGATTCAAGGCGACGGAAAGCCACCTTGTACGAGCAAGGGGACCTAGTCTTGATACGCGTTGGTAGCATAGCTCCCACGGGCAGCAGCAGGAAGCTTATGCCGAAATGGCGAGGACCGTTCCGGGTCGAAAGGGTAGTCGGAAACGACAGATATGAGGTGACCGACATTCCGGGTTGCTCGAGGTCACAAACACGATACAGGGGTGTCGCAGCTGTAGATAATATGCGACCCTGGATCAAGTGGTAAGATGGAAGAGCAAGGGAAAGGGGATGTGAGTACCCTTTCTGGCAAGGTGCTGTGCTGAATCTTCGTCAGGTGGCAAAGGTAAACATTAACAGTTAATTAGGCAGGGTGTCACCGGGACGGAGGTTGGCAGTACGGACTTGCGGGCGAACGATGCTGGTTACAGGGTGTGGTCATGCACTGATGGCCTGAACACCGGAGCTGTAAGGTGTCGGAAGTCAATATAGTATGTACATACATAAGTTAAATAGGGTACTGTAGATAAGTAAAAAAAAAATATGTATAAACATGACGTTATATTAGTAACTAAGCTTAGCCAAGCAGATATTAAACTGTTTTAATAAGAAACATAGGGATAGCCAGTCAACCCAAATGAAGCAGCATACACACGTTACACAACTTGCCAAAACCCAACAACTGAGACAATTTATTTTTTTAGNAAATTATATGATACTACTAATAACCAACTAACTATAATACTTTATAATTATAAAATAAACCACGCCAATGATGTTTTCATTATATTTTATTTAGTTAGGTAGCCAAATCTATAATATTTGTTGATTGTAAATTAAAAGTACTTAAGTAACTGCTAAAACTTTTAATTTTAACGAGATCAATTTTTTTTACTTAGTTAGGAAGTTAAATCCCTATAATATTTGTTGATTGTAAATTAAAAGTGCCTTCTTGAATGCGGGTTGTTATGAATGAATTTTTAACGAAGATTTCAATTTATTGCTTATCTATAAAAAAATTGGATTTCCCCTGACAACAAAAGTGACTTTTTAAAAAGTCCCCTGCCGGACGGCCCCCGGATGCCCTTCAGACTAGGACAAATCCGGGGAATCCCGGACGGATGGCAGCCCTAATCGCAGGAAACGCGTTTTAATTATAAATATTTGCTGTAATTTTTCCTTTGCCAAATGTCTCGCCTCACGATGTGCAATTGAATAGTTCAATTATTAATTTTTACCATAAAACGTGCAGGACCCGACACCGGCAAAAAAAATATTAAAACTTGTGTAATTCTCAAACTATTTACTATACCTAGATATATTACGTATACAGAACGTTAATATTAATATTTATAATAACATTTAACAATATCATTTTTATACTGCAATTAATAAACTTACCTAATTAAGAAGACCGAACACATCAGTAGAAGCCACTTAACTAAACTCTTACCCGTAACCGCGTAGGAACACCGTACAAGCGAAGACACATTGCACAATATTAGCATATTGCACAATATTAGCGAATATTACATACTAGGTCACAGCTTCCTACGGGTGTAGATATGCATGCACCGAGTCAGAACAAAAAACTGAAACGCAAATAAATATGTAAAAAAAAATTGCTACATTTTTTCGTTATATTCTCTACAAAATTTGTTTAACCTTTCTACAATTTGTAATGAAATTCACTAAGTTGTTGTCGTAAATATTTCATTCAAATTGTAAGAAATTTGTCTGAGCCATTGTCGATATTTCTCCTACAATTTTGTTAGGATTTGGGAATGATAATAAGAAAGTATATTAAATCAAGTGTACAGAACTGTTTATTATTAATAGTTGTACACAGGTAGGTAGTACAGAGAAGACTAAGTACTCTGTTCAGTGTTTAATTTATTAACAATAAGTGGGGGTATGATAGCAGAGCGTGGTTATAAAATGTTGGATATTTTCCCTTACAACGGGTGACATATACAACATTCTCCCCTTATTGTCACACGTTTAAGTTAAGACATTAATTTCATTTTTCTTACATGATTAATTAATACATTATATGGTAATGCTTTTGTGAAAATATCTGCCACATTATCATTCGATGCGATATAAGTCAGTTTTATTAAACCTTCTTCATATTTTTCTCTAGTGATATGATATGCTATATCTATATGTTTAGATTTAGAGCGTTCTATTCTGTTTGACGTAAAATCAATGGCTGACTTATTATCACACCTAATGATGTAGGGCTTACATGGTATATCTATTTGCATTACATTTTTCAATTCATCGTACATCATGCTCATCCATATGGCTGTTTTAACTGCATTTTCAAGCGCTATATATTCGGCTTCCATAGTGGATGTAGCAATCGATTTTTGTTTGTTTGATTTCCAGGTGATTGGATTACCTGCTAAGTAAACTATCGTTCCGCTATAAGAATGTCTATCATCTACATCGGCTGCCCAATCAGCATCGCTAAATATTTCAATTTCATTGTTACCAGGCGTATACATTAGTTTAAAGTCTATGGTCATCGATAAATATCTTAATACTCTTTTTGCTTGCAACCAATGTATTNCAAACTTGAGTCGCATTTTCTACAAAACGGCCTCTACAACGTTATAGTAATTTTTCTTACAGCATTTTTCTGAGTGTAGGTGGTCCATATCTGAAGTGCTGAATGGACACTCCTGCTAAAAAGCGATGCTAGGAGCTAGAAGTGAGCGAAAGAGAGCTGCTCATTGTAGAAGGTGACAGGGCCTTCGGAAACGGTCGTTTGGTTTCGGTGCGAAGTTGGAGAGTGTAGAGATGATGGGGGAGATTTGCCGCGAATGTGATTACATACTCGGGGATAGGAGGTAAACCGGTTTCGATCAGAATTTGGGTGTTTCTGACGAACCAGGGGTAGTTTAGTACACAACGATTAATCCGCGTGTAGGTGCCCTGCAAAAGTATCAGGCGGTGGGGAAGGGCGCAGTCCCAGACGGGAATGGCATGGCAGCAAATGCTCCTAACAATTGCGTTAAACACACGAATTTTGGTCTGTTGGGAGATGGAGTTATTATTATTATAATGCACCCAGAGCCTTGTTACGAGTCGCTGTAATATGGTGTCGCCCGTTTAGGCATCTGTCGAAGACGACTCCTAGGTAGGTGACGGAGCTGCTCCATTTAATGGGGCGGTTATTGACGATGATGGAGAGAGGTTTTCGGAGCCTACGAGAAAAGTAGATTGCCTCCGATTTGGTCTCGTTAATGGAAAGTTTCCATTTCCGATACCAGTTTAGGAGCCGGGGCAGGAACCTATTAATTCTCGCTGTGCATTGGAGAATCGTATTTCAAGAGCTTATAATAGCAATGTTGTTAGCGTACAGAGCAGTAAGAATTGAAGTGTGAGAGGGCATGTCCGCGCAAAACAGGTTAAAGAGAAGAGGGGACAGTTTGGAGCCTTGTGGGACACTGGCTGTGACGCGTTTACTGGCAGAGGGAGCGGAGCCAACGCGGACCCGAAGGCTTCTGTGTGTGAGGAAGGACCTAATAATCCCAACTAGAAAGTGTGTGATGTTAAGGGCGATGAGTTTGGAGATAAGGCCTTCGTGCCAGACTCGGTCGAAGGCTTCTTGGACATCAAGAAGTAGCATGGAAGTGTGAAACGCTTGTTAAGGTTATCGGAGATGTGTTCGGTAAGACGAAGAAGTTGATGTCCGGTGGCGTGTTTCCTGCGGTAACCGTGTTGAAACTCGGGGAGAAGGTTATTTTACTCCACGTGGTCTAAGAGCCGATCGAGAAGGATGGATTCCACTACTTTGCTCAACGAACTGAACAGGCTGATGGGCAGGCAGGGAAGACAGATGACAGTGGCTTTTCCATAACAAAAGGAAGTGATGGAGCCGCATGATAGCGTTTGTGATGTTGCACAGTGCGGTGATGTGCTTTGACGGCAGTACTTTGAGGACTCCGTTGGGAATTCCGTCAGCACCAGGGGCTCAGACAACAATAGTAAGGAAGATCTCACGGGGTGTAGTGTGGCTGAATTCGGAATTTATAGGATCGAAGTTTTGTGAGACGGCTTTGGTACGCTTATGAAAGTTGGCAAGGTCCACTGGACTAGGTACTGGTGAGCACTGGAGGCATAAAGAGTCTCCGAAGATTGCAGATTTTTCTTCGTCTAAAAAGTAGGTGGAGCCGTTCTGTTTTAGCTGCGGAAGACGGGGAGCTCTGTTACGAAGTGAATAGATCACTTTCCAAGTGCATCGGGGGTGTGTTTCTGCCTGAGTCTAACGAGAATGTTAGCTTTGGGAGGTTGTAAGTTGGGCGGCTGATTTCGATTTGAGCAGGAAGGTGATCTGAGCTAAGATCGTTAAGAACTGTAGGGTCGGCGGAGAGGTTAACGTTCCTTGTGAGGAAAATGTCTAGAATATCTGGAAGGTTGTTGTGACAACCCGGGTAATAACTGCCAGTTGTAGAATAGGCTGTGAAGGCTAGTGAAAGTAGTTTTCTCTGGTATACAGACGTGCATAGGCTCGAATGGTTCGGGCTCGTATGGGTTTGGGTTAGAATTCGTCGAGAATATATGTTTTTTTTTTTGTAAGTGTCTGACATAGGGAGAGTCCGATTTATATTACTTTATCTGCAAGTGATAAACTTGTGAAAAAGTTATCAGTAGTTATGCCATGTCGACATCTAACAATATCAAGGACAACCCTTTCGCCTCGATTCTTCTCTGCTACGTTGTTAATTTTTCCAAGATAAACCTGCAAATTTATGGAATAAGCATTATTACTATCTGCCATTGCCCAAATCTTTATTCCTTACTTATCTGACTTGCTTTTCATGTAAATACGGAAAGGGCATCTTCATGTAAATGAAACCAGCTGCTCATCAGTTGTAACAAGCGATCCAAGCGAATATGTAGCAGAACAGTTTTTCACAAAAATGTTTAAGACTTCTCTAATAGGTGTCAATTTATCACTGGCCCTACACTCAGCTTTTGTAGAAGTGTCATCCAAACGAATAAATGCTGTGAGTAACTGCAACATATTACGAGACATGGTTGTGGGAATAATAGGACGAGTATAGATTTATTAGTGCACCATAATATTTTCTGTGACTCCTTGGTTGCTTGAAGAGCTCCTAGAATAATCAAAAGTCCCAAATATGCTCCGATCTTGATGGAATCGGTTGGTTGCCAAGTGCGTGGTTTATTGGGATCGTTGTCATTCAATTAACTCAATATCTGAAATAAAAAATACTGCAACTCTTGGAATCGATGCAGTGCACCAAAATTATGTGAACATTCATCTTGTCGAGCTGGTATTGACTACCTTCATTTTTTATCATTAGTGATAAAAAGTGGAAGCAATGCAAGCACAGCATTATTCGTCTAAGAAATATTTTGTATGTCTACCTTCAAAGAAAAGCTGTACTAGACGGATGTGTATATTTACCTGTTTATCCTTATTGTTTGTTTGAACTACTAGTATTTCTATTAGTCCATCTGAAAATATAGTGAAAATGCTTCATTTGCATTTGCAAACGCGTACTCTTAGGAGACCGCGATCTTAAGAGTGCGCATTTAAAATCCTCCCCCATTAAGATGAAATTTTAAGGCATTAAGAAAGGAATTAAATTGGTAAAAAGATTTCGTAAGTTCTTAAAATTTCAATTACAGTATTTTTTAAATTCCAAACGTTTTATTCTAAACGAAAAGCTTGTTCCTTCTGTTCTTCCTTTTCTTCACTTATTTTAACTTTTTGTAAACACAATTCAATTCTATTCTTTATTAATAGGTATACACTACTTTAACAGATCCATGAAAATTAGAGTTTACTAGGTACGCTAACTTTTCATAGAACGATGTATTTTCACATGTAATTGCATTTGTTACTTTTGGATTTATATATTGATGTAGGACGTTAATTATTTCGTTTTCGTAATTTTGGTAACTAATTGTAAGTTGAACTATATGTCGCGTTATGTTAAACAATTGAATTTGACCAATAGTAGGTTTATATGAAAAGGAGGTTACAAATTGATTCTTATAAAAATTAATTGGTTTCTCTGTAATTGGTAATTCTGCGTTTGTGTTTTCTGTTTGTATTGTGATCATTCTGCTCAGTGTTATCGACGTTATCAATATTATCAGTGGTTGTGTACGTTGATGCGATAGATGATTTATCGGGTGGTTTTATTTGTACATCAGTAAGGATTTTAATTTTCTTTACTTTATGAATTTCGGCCTTCATCGCAGATGTCTGTTTGTCCTTGTCGAGTTGGAGAAAGTCATCTAGATCTTCAATTTTTAACAAGTCTCTTTCGTTAATATCACCTAGGTTGTTAAATAATGATAATAGTTCGTCTCTAGTTAAAGTGGGTTTGCTTCTAACCTTGATAAAAAGTCTGCATTACTGTTGCTTCTACCTTCCTTATATACTTGCAAATGTAAACGCCATCTGATTAATTTGGAATTTGATTCTTTAACATTGAACAACCATTGTAGTGGTTGATGGTCTGTAACTATATTGAATTGTCTACGGTATATGTAAGACCTAAACATTTTAACTCCTGCAATAATTGAGAGTTCTACTGATAAACATTAATGGTCTAT